GCCCAAAAGGACCAGGTCAGCCCCTCTCGGGGGATGCTCCTGCTGGGGGCAGCGTGAGGGGTGTCTCTCCCAGAAGGGGCAGAGTGCCCAGCAGGGCGAGGCATGGCCTCCCGTGAACCCTCCGCTCCCTCCCGTGGTTGAAAATCGGGACTGAGCTCCAGGGAAGACAGATAGGCGTTGGCCCGGAGCAGGGGCTTCCTCAAGACCCTCCCATCACCTGGGTTTGGAGAGAGAAGCCCCCTGCTTGGTTCCCATGCTCTGAGCCCCTCAGACCTCCCAGTCCCTGTGCCGGCTGGGACCCCGTGACCGTGGCCGTGGCCATGGCCGCAGATGAGAGGGGGTGACGGGTCCCTGGAACCTTGCGCGTGGCAGCCCCTGAACTTGGGAGTCCTGCCTGGGTCGCAGGCAGCATTCACCTCTGACCACAAGAGGGCGCCAGTGGGCAGAGCGCGTTCTGATAAAGGCACCCCATGCGCCCCAAACACATGTGTGGTCAGCGCAGGTCACAGGCTGCCCTGGGGACCTGCCCTCCCTGCGCTGTGTCCCAAGAGCCCTGCCGCCCTGTGGAAGCCACCCAGAAGAAGGGGATGGGGCTGGAGGGGGGACCGGGGGCAGGAAGAGGGGTACCCAGTGGGGTAGGAAGGGCTGTGGGAGGTAGGGGGGATCAGGTAGGGGGTGGGTCCAGGGTCCTGGCGGGGGTCTGGAAAGGGGGGGACAGGGGGCGAGTTGGGGGGAAGGAGCAGAGGAGACGGGGACGGGAGGGGTGGGAGGGGTGCCCCTCCAGCTGTCTCAGACATGAAGCGGCCCTATCCTTCTGGTGCCCCAGGACCTCTTCCCAACGCCCTCTCCCACACATGGCACCAGTGCGCACCCCCTCCCGCCCGCATCACTCTCATCGCCCCCTCCCAGCCGCATCCAGGGGCTTCCTCCCACTGACATCACCTGTGAGCCTGGGGTCAGCTGATGCCCTGCTCTCCCTCTCTCCCTCCCTCATCCTCCCTTCCCTGCTGACCCCGACCAAGCCCAGGTCAGACCCTCCTCAGGGCTCTCCCAGGACAGAGACCCAGGCCCGAGGCAGCCTCCGCGGTCACAGAAAGTGAGCAGGGTGCGTCTGCAGGACCAGCCCGCAGGTGTGGCCCTGGACCAGGGGCAGCTTTTGGGAGCTCGTGAGAAAGGGGGCCTCGCTGACGACTCCGGAGCCCGAATCCACGTTTGAACCAGCTCGGGGGTCTCCTGTGCACAGGGCACTTTGAGAAATGGCAGGTTGTGTCCTAGGGAGGCGCCGGCCCCACCCCTCCATTGTCCCCCACCTGTAATCCTGGTTTCTCTGTGTGTCTGCACCTGCCCCTGCTCTGTGACCAACTGCTATAAACAGGCGAGTCCCTGCAGAGGCCGGGAACAAGATGGGGCTTGGCCGGGATCGGGACAATGACAGCGACCTCACCCTTGCCTCTAGACTGTTCTCGGGCTGCTCCCGCTCCCGCCAGTGATGGAGAGCTTGCACCCGCGTGGCGAAGCTGCCTGCAGGGGCCACCCAGGTGTTGGAGAGGGCACCAGTGAGTGGCTGAATCCCAGAAACAAGAGTTTACACGAGCTCTGTGACTTTGCCAAAAGTGAGATCATCTGCCTCACTCAGCTGCCAGGCAGCTGGCCAGGGCGGCCCCTGTGAGCCAGCTGTTCCGGGGTTGGAGACCAGTGCCTGCGCATCTGCCGGGCCGTGGGTGCCCTGTAATGGGGACACTTCTGTGTGGCTGCCAGCCTCAGACTATGCACTCTGCTTCTCCCACCGCCACCACCTTCAGTGCCACCAGCCCAAGGGTGGCTTCTCAGCGATCCAAGCATGACCCACCCTGTCCCCCGGGCCTGTGAGGTCAGAGACCTGTGGGTGGGGGCCAGAAGCAGGGCTCCACTCAGTCCTTTCCTGGGTGGACACAGCCAGACCCTCCTTCTCAAAGCGGGGGTAGAGCTACAGGACCCTGCTGGCCTCGGCCGCTAGGGCAGCCCCGGGCAGCAGTTGTGTGGGCACAGTGGAGGCCAGAAAGGTCTCCACGTCCTGACGGTGCTTCTGCTCCCTAAGTCTGTGCACCCGTGGGCCAGTGTTCACTGATGTGGTGGTGGACAAAGACAGGTGTGCAAGAGGGGGGTCCTGGGCCCCCGGCCGGGTCCTGGCCTGTGGGTAGCCTCACTGTCTGCTTCTGGGGTCCAGTTTCCCTCAGCACGCCCCCCTACACCTGGGTGTGGTGCAGGGGCCCCGTGTAGGAGGCAGCCTGGGAAAGAGACGAGTGGGAGCGTCTGCTTCCTCCCGCGGGGCAGACTTGGCCTGGGAGGCAGCCTGCAGGTGCCTAGGAGCACCCAGAGCCAGACCACGGGGCTCACCCACTCCGCGTTGTGCTGTGTGAGGCTGGGCAAGCGACCCAGTCTCTCTGTGCCTGCTTTCCTCCTCTCTGGGCTGGAGATATCGTGGTCCCTACCTCATGGGGCTGCCGTGAGGAGTTAAGGACAGGGATCTGCCCATGGCAGCCCCAAAGCACAAGAAACTCCCCTCCCAGAAAGCGGGTCCCAGCCTGGCCGGGGAGAAGGGGGCCAGTGGCTGAGCACACGGTGGCTGCAGCACAAGGAGCGCAGAGCAGCGTTCCAGTCGATGTACAGTTCCTTCTACGTTTCATGTCCAATAGTAATTTCATTTTTTTAACCTGAGCTGTTTTTTGTTGTAGTCTTATCAATGCCTGCTTGTGATGCTGGTCTCCCATCACAACCGTGACAGTGTGGAAGGGACACCGGGGAGGCATTGGGGCCACCCTGCCTTGCGTGGCCAGCGCACTGGCCCTGCCTGTGCCTTTGTATTTGCATAATCGCGAACACACCGCTGAGGGCATTGGGGTCGCCGTGTGGCCAGCACAGTGGGCTCTGCATCAGGAATGGGGTATGTTTGGGCCACAGGAGAGAATGCTCCGGGTTCAGAAGCTCAAACCAGTGGCATCTGAGGGCTGATGTGGAATGGTGCAGGGAACCTACCCATCGTGGTTGACAGGATGACCCCACCGGGATCAAAGCCCCGTTTCAGGGAGAAGGGGAGACCCTGAGTCGGGCCCTGGTGCTCTCGGGAACAAGGCAGTGTGACGTCCATGTTTTCCAGGCACTGGGTGGGTTTACAGAAACACCCCCATTGAACCCTCCCAGCAGGGGACGCTGTTTTGGTGCCCATGTTGGGAGGGAGGGAAGGGAGATGATTCGTGGGGCCTTGAGGGGGCCTGGAGCCCTCTCCTGCCTCCAGCCCCTGCGCAGCGCCCTGCCCCTCCTGGCAAATGGCATGGATCTGCCAGTGGCTGGTGGCGTGCACAGTGCAGAGTGTCGCTGGGCCCTCCGTTCTCCTGCATGTCAGAAAGAGCCCAGGCAGTAGTCTGAGCTCAGGGCTTCGGAGGATCACAGGTGGACCTCGTGGAGAGGCTCGTGTTGGAACGTTGAAGGAGGGTGTGTGGGTGGTCGGGTGGGGGAGTCTCAGCAGAGCACGTGGCGTGGATAGAGCTCCAGCATTCCCGAGACACCATTTCCTCCCATCCCGGCCGTGGGCCCGGCTCCCCCGGGACAGAATTGGGACCGCCTCCCACTGACGGGCTAGGCCAACACAGGCCAACACCTGCTTGGGGCCACGCAGAGAGAGCGCGTGCCCAAGACGGTACAGAGCTCTGGGCCCCCGCAGCCGGCCCTGGATACAGCTTGGGACTCAGCCCGGGACCAGGGCTTCTGTCCCCACAGCTGCCTCGCTGGGCTGCCCAGCCTACACCAGGCATGCTGGCTGCAGTGTGTGGGGAGCTTAGGCCCCTGGCACTGAGGCTCAAGTGACAAACCTTCCCGGCAAGAGAACTAAACCAGCTCAGAAACAGTGCCATTGGGGGCGCCCCATGCCGCTCAGAAACACCGTCACGGGTCTCTCGCCGTGCGAGCACACAGGGGCTCTCGTCTCCATGGCACAAAGGCTGCTCTGAACGAAAGCTGGCGTCTGTGCAGATTGCTATAAACGGGCGGGTGTGGGTGAGGACACAGAGCCAGCAGCACCCCTGTGCATGCATTCTGTGCGTCACCATGACCCCCTTTGGGTGTAAGAGGGACGCGTGGGCATCATGGCCCAGCCAGCAGAGCACTTCCAGACAGCACCGTCTGCGTGTGCTCCGTGTAATTCTGATTTCCTCCAAGACCCGAAAGTGGCCTCCTTGCCTCTGTTCACGGACTTGCGATTCAGCATCAAGTCAGCACCCTCTTCCCTCCGTGTGGATTGGCTGGCGGCCACAGCTGTACAAGCGGCTTGGGTGGGAAGTTCCCTGGCGGAAGCGGGCCTCCCCATTGGACGCTGTGACTCAGGTTCCTGCGCTGAGCTCAGAGGGCAGGATGGGGCTGTCATTGCACAGTGTCTCGGTGTCATCTTTATCACAGATGCTGCTGCTGCAAGGAGCCATTTCTTGTCTCCTGCTCCCAGCAGATGCTTGTGAGCCTTTGGATGCCTCGGTCTTGTCCCAGAAGCACAGCAATGCCGTGCAGAAGGACTTTATAACGTAGACACACACGGTGGCCTCAGATGCCAGGACTAATCTGACGTACGGGTCACAGCACTTGTTTTGGAGGGCTTAGCCAGCTGGTCAACCGGGAAAGGAGAACCATTGGCTCTTATGCTGGAAGAGGAGTCTTCGGAAAGGGGGGGGAGGTGTCTGCCAGGGTCTCTGCCCTGTGTGGTGGCCTGGGCTGGGCTGGGAATGAGCGGCACACAGGAAGTACCTGCCCGTCTCCAGACAAGAGCAGGTTCTAGAAGCTGCCTGGACAGGGCTCCTGGAAATGCCGCGTTCTATGGTGTGCGGATGCTGACTTGGCCCGCAGCTTACCGTGCAGCACAGAAACGGCACAGGAATTCTGGGAGGAGCCATCTGATTGTAAGGTTTGCCCAGAGAGTTCACAAAAGCCTGTGGCCTGTGCACACTAATTGTAGATCTCTCTCCTCCTCATTTCAGCTTGCAAGATGCTGGCATTGGGTTCATCCTGGTCATAGACAGAAGGCAGGACAAATGGACGTCGGTGAAGGCATCGGTCCTGCGAATAGCCGTAAGTGTCGGTGCCCGGGTTGTGATGCCCTCCTCTGCTCGTCCCCTGGGCCGGGTGACCGCCGGGTGACAGCACTGTCTCTCTTTCCTACCTGTCCATCTGCCTGGTGGTGGTTTGCGTGCTGCTGGCCCGTGCCGTGCGGTGCTCCAGCCCGGCTGCCTGCAGTAGGGCCAGGGGGCACTAGGGACCCATGACCCCTTGGTCTGTTTGAGTTGTTGGAGCAGGTGCACATGTGTGTGCATGGTGTGTGTGTGTGTGTGTGCGTGTGTGTTCTCAAATGACTTCACTCTTAGGGGGCCTGTGATCATTTAAAAACAGTTCCAGGGGCGCCTGGGTGGTGCAGTCGGTTAAGCGTCCGACTTCAGCCAGGTCACGATCTCGCAGTCCGTGAGTTCGAGCCCCGCGTCGGGCTCTGGGCTGATGGCTCAGAGCCTGGAGCCTGTTTCAGATTCTGTGTCTCCCTCTCTCTCTGCCCCTCCCCCGTTCATGCTCTGTCTCTCTCTGTCCCAAAAATAAATAAACGTTGATAAAAACAGTTCCACCAGTCTGTTTCTGACTGTGGACTATGTGGGATGCTGAGGATTTAATGTGTCTTCATTCTTTTTTTTTTTTTGGCAGAGAGAGATTGAGAGCACTAGAAGGGGAGGGGCAGAGAGAGGGGGAGGGAGGGGGAGGGAGAGAGAATCCCAAGCAGGCTCCACACTCAGCCTAGAGCCTGACTCAGGACTCAATCCCATGACCCTGGGATCATGACCTGAGCTGAAATCAAGAGCTAGACGCTCAACCCACTGAGCCCCCTCAAGCACCCCTAATGTGTTTTCATTCTTTTTAATACTTATTTGTTTTTGAGAGAGAGAGAGAGGGGGAGAGAGAGAGCGTGAGCAGGGGAGAGACAGAGAGAGAGGGAGACACAGGATCCAAAGCAGGCTCCAGGCTCTGAGCTGTCAGCACAGAACCCAACGCGGGGCTCGGACCCACAGACCACGAGATCATGACCTGAGCCAAAGTTGGATGCTTAACCAACTGAGCCCCCCAGGTGCCCCAATGCGTCTTCACTCTTACATGCAGCACAAGCCCCTGAGCTATGGGACGTCCAGGATAGAAGGGAATCTTCAGGCTACAGGTTTGAAATTGTATTGAACGCCCTTTTCGAATTGACTTTCTACTTTTCAAAAGGGCCATACTCACCCCTTAGTTTTCCTGCTAAATGAGATGCCTGGGCCTTCCTGGAGCCCACCCCTGCATCTGGCCACTGCCATCTTACACGCGGAAGGACGACAGCTCTGTGGTTGTGGCTGTGGCTGTTTCCACTCCAGGCCACTGCAGGTCGTGGCCTGCAGTAATACAAGAGGGAAGGGGCCTACCCACGAGCTCCGAGTGGAGCGCTTGGCCTGCCCTCACGCCCGGCAGCCCAGGGACTTACGGCAGCAGGGAGACCAGAGCACCCGCGGCCGGGTCGCCGGCTGGGATGACTCTTAAGAGCCCAACCCCCAGTGGAATGAAATTCTCCTAAACTCTCGCTCTGGGTCTTGTGTTCAAACCATCTTTGCCTCCGGGCCTCTGAGAGGCCACTGTGCCGTGGCTCTGGGTGGGGTGAAGAACCAGTCCCTCCCCCCAAGATGGCTCATCGTCCATGGAAACAGCACCTAAGGCTTGCACCTGCTCGATTGCTACACTTGCCATCATTCTGCAAACCTGTCCTTGGGCCGCGGGGGGTGCCCCTTGTCTTTCTGAGAAAGTATCTCCCTACATCGCTTGGTACACCTCCTGTTCCCTGTCCCTTGTTATAGAATCAGCTTTCCTTTAAGATCCCGTGAGGCCTACGAGTCCTTTTGATATGCCGTCAGCAGTAAATAGCCAGCATGTCCATTTCATTATTTTAAATTTAAAAATACATTTGCATGTGATGTCACATGGCAGGCTAAATTAAGAATTAAATTGTAAGAACCAGTGGGACAGATGCACAGTAGACTTAAGACAAATTTCTTAAGGCAGTAAGTCCGTCCTGGGTCGAATGTCAAGACATAACTTGTCAAGTATGTCATTGTTTATAAGACTGTTGGGGCGCCTTGGGGGGCTCAGTCGGTTGAGCATCTGACTTCAGCTCAGGTCATGCTCTCGAGGTTCATGAGTTTAAACCCCAAGCTGGGCTCTGTGCTGACAGCTTAGAGCCTGGAGCCTGCTTCAGATTCTGTGTCTCTCTCTCTCTCTCTCTCTCCCCCTCCCTCTCTGCCCCTCCCCTGCTCATGTGCTCTCTCTCTCTCTCTTTCAAAAATAAATAAACGTTTAAAAAAAGAAGGTAACACTGTTGCAATAACATTTTTCCAATCTAAATAATCTCTCCAGTTCTTTTACATTTGTCTACCATGGATCTGACTCCCGCTCAGGCACGTCACCATGTGGCAAGTGCACAAGTCAGCCTCTTTGCCGTGATGGTCACGGGCGTCTCCCCTGTGCTGGGAACTGCCCTTCTGCCCCTCTGCACACACGCTGCTCCCTGGAAGACCTCGCCCCTGCACGGCAGGCAGCTTCTGCTCATCTTTCTCCTCCCTGCGTCCCCGCCTCCCTGCGTCCCCGCCTCCCTGCGTCCCCGCAGTGCCGTGGTCCACACGGTCTCCCACTCTGGAAGACACCACTACTCATCACAGCACATCACAGGTTCCTCAAAGTGCAGCCCATCTGCGTGTGGCAGGCACCCGGCCAGGCCCAGGTGAGACAGGTTGGCCGTAAATATCTCTCACAGCCATCAGTCGCTCCTGGCTAGAAACAGGAGAGTCCCCAGACACAGGATAGTTTTGAAGAAATAGATAAATTATTTTTAAGAACTGAAGTACCGGGGCGCCTGGGTGGCGCAGTCGGTTAAGCGTCCGACTTCAGCCAGGTCACGATCTCGCGGTCCGTGAGTTCGAGCCCCGCGTCAGGCTCTGGGCGGATGGCTGGGAGCTTGGAGCCTGTTTCCGATTCTGTGTCTCCCTCTCTCTCTGCCCCTCCCCCGTTCATGCTCTGTCTCTCTCTGTCCCAAAAATAAATAAAAACGTTGAAAAAAAAAAATTAAAAAAAAAAAAAAAAAAGAACTGAAGTACCTGCGAATGTGCCCTGGGGGCCATCCGTGTGGTCCAGGAGGACCTACCTGTGTTGGGGGGAGGTGGGGACAGAGCTCTCCACCTGCCAAGGGCAATCGCGGTTTCCTTTGTCATTGGCTTTGTGACCAGGTGGACTTCTAAAACATGCTGACTCATCTTTAAAACTTTGTTTTGTGAAATTATAACCGAAAAGTTGCTGTTTGAGTTTTAATGTTTGCACAGATTTGTACGTAATAAAAATACAGGTTTTTGAAGTATCCTTCTTCCTAGAAGTCTTGGGGTTCCCCGGTGGTGGTTTAGAAATTGTCGAAGTTAACATTTTCCCAGCAGAATCGCCAAGAATTCTCGGTAGCTTCAAAGAATTCTGATGTAAGAATGCATTGATCATATAGGGCCAACCATGCTGTGCGTGTACTCAGCACGTGTCCTGGGACTCTACCGTGCTCCCGCTGCTGTATGAGGCTTTGGGTGTTGGGGGTATCAGCAGGGAATGAGCTGGAAGTATCAGCCAAGTGGGGTGCTGACAGTTGACAGAATGCCGTGATACGGGATATGACCAGAGGTGGCCAACACCCAGGGGGGGCCCGAGGCGGTGCCTACCCATCCTGCGGGGAGCTCAGGAGGCTGTGAGGCAGGCCCCATTGCCTTTCTTGTGCGTGTGCCATTTCCGAGCCAGGGTGTGGGGTGTGACCACCGTGGCTCTGCCGTGGGGACAGGAGGCAGGAGACAGAGCAGGCACACCAGTGCCAACGCCCGGTGCTGTGAACCTGCACCACCGGCTGCGGCTGGCCTGTGCTCCACCCGGGGGCTTTGGGGAAGCCAGGCCAGCACCCTGGAGAGGGTGTGTTCCCCTGCCCTGCACTGTGGACAGTCCCCAGGGCACCTGGGCCACCAGCTGCCGCAGGTGCGATGAAAGCAAGCTGGTGGCACCGAGGCTCCATCTCCAAATGTGTCTGGCCACCCGAGTGAGACACGGCACTTACGTAACATGCTGTAATGCGGCTGTTCCCACCACCATGTGGGCAGCTCGTGAGCAGAGCCCCCCTGTTGTGAGGTATTCTTTCTCCTTGTTGGATGCCTTCAGCTTGGCTTGAAATAGAACACAGGGAGGCAAAACCCAGAGTCCCCAAAATCAGATGTTCTGTGTCTGCGTCAGCTCTGAGGTGTTGGGGGCAATGGGCGCTTGCCTGTCACGTCGTGGTCACAGCCGGTGGCCTGTCATGTTGTGGTCATAGCCAGTGGCCTGTCATGTGGTCACAGCCAGTGGCCTGTCACAGTCATGGTCACAGCCAGTGGGCTGTCATGTCATGGTCACAGCTGGTGGACAAAGGTGGAAACAAGGAGACATAGAATGAGGATACATTGGTTCAAAGTTTGCACCGTCCTCGGATGAACAAACCTTTTGAGAACTACCTGAGCTAGGATTCCGTTTCACACATTAGCCCACCTGTCCTAGACCGCGTGTGTGTGTGAGTGTGTGTGAGCATTTGGGTATTTATAACAGTGTACGGGTTTACGTTTTGAGCTAGCCCAGTTCAAGCTCCGTCTATACCGTAGAGCATGCTGCTGAAGAAGGTTCCGGCTCTAGGCATTCTTAGTCTGCACGGGGCAGAAATGTGGTTCTTGCCGGGAGGCCGTTGTCATCCGTGCATGCAGACAGGGTGCAAGGCGACATATCCGGCGATGCAGGGTCTTTAGGGCATCCAGTAAATATGCCACACATGGCAAAATAATACTGCATTAAACAAGGTAGTGAGTTTCTGCCTTGTGCCACTTCCTGGAGTCTAAGCACAAGGTGCTGAGCACTGATGGTGAAGACAAAGCAGTGTGAGCCCCAGGAGGGCTTCCCGGTGGAGGTGACACTGGACAAGAGTCAGAAGGGGAAGAGGAGCTGTTCAGCAGGGAGAGGACGATGAGCATGCCCCTTGGAGTGTAAGCAGAGGCGGGAGGTCAGGGGGTGCAGGGGTGAAGGGCAGGTTAGCAGGCGGGGGCATGTCCAGGCTGCAACCTCACCCAGGGGTCAGGAACAGAGTGGGCCGTTGGGAGGTGCAGCACTGACCACGGCATGGCCAGCTGTCTCTGAACCAGCCTTCGTGTGTCCCACGTACTTCCGCAGCCGAGAGGAGCTCACAGGGCACGGAGCCCGCGGAGGCCGGAGGGAACAGGGCTGGGCCCGTTCTCGCCGCACCGCAGGGGGAGAAAGCAGGTAGCCCAGGCCAGGGCAGCTGGGGGTCATCAGCCTGGCACACCAGTGGGTGGGTCCTGGGGGTGGGGACAAGTCCATGCAGAGTGTTCCGGAAGGGCATGTGGACAAGTGTCCTTCCTTCAAGTTTGGCCCTTCCTACATATTTTTCATTGAAACGTCTGTTCTTGCGTGATGTTCGCAAGTGTCCCCAACACCTACCAAAGGGGTGGCCTTCGCTGCCCCTGTCTGGAGCCCCTGCATCCAGACCTCATAGGAACAGCCTGGCAGCAAGAGGCCTGTGCTCGCTGCCAGCCTCCCCGAGTTGTGCCCTGGGGTTATCAGTACACACACCTGTGCTTGGTTTCTGCCATTGCCAGGCAGACGGAGTCGGTCAGGCTGAGCTGTTCCATTTTATGGATTAACTGTGTAACGCGGGCCGGACAACTGTGCTCTGAGCACACCTTCAGAGAGTTCCTTGAACTGGAGACAGGTTTCAAACAGTGTTCCCCAGAGCACCAGGATTCCGGACATTCCAGTGTATGGGTCGGCGTCAGCTGTGCGTGTAGATGTACACGCGTCTCTAGGAATGTTGATCCAGAAACCACTTAACTCTCTGTCTCCAGATGACATTTGTGTGGCCATCACACTGTGTATGTCCCTAAGTCAGCCAGGGTCAGCCCCAGAAAATAAACAATTTTGTTTCAGTGTCTTAGAAACCTACCACAACCCTTTTATGGTCACTGGATTACTAAGTTACAAAAAGATGTTATTTTGTAGCCTTCATCCCCAATCCTCTATCTAGTTACTTCTGTTTTGCTTTATGTATATTTTTGAGAGAGAGACAGAGCACAAGCGGGGGAGGGGCAGAGAGGGGCAGAGAGAGAGGGAGACACAGAATCTGAAGCAGGCTCCAGGCTCAGAGCTGTCAGCACAGAGCCCGACACGGGGCTCGAACTCACGAATCGCGTGATCATGACCTGAGCCGAAGCCGGACGCTCAACCGACTGAGCCACCCAGGTGCCCCCTGTTACCTCTGTTTTTAAAATATGACTTTAATGTTGGTATTTCCCCAGCTCTCAGTTCAGAGAGTTGGTTCCAACCCAGAGAAGGTTTAATTACTGCTCTTTGTGGTCAAAGTATGTGTTTGTGTAGGTCGTTTAACGCCTTCTCACGTGACGGCTTCCGTGTTGAAGAATCGGGGACCAAAGCAGAGAGGAGGCAGGGGAGGGAGTGTTTTCCGCCTTCAGCAGCGGGATCTATGTGCCTGGAGGAGAAATGAGGGTGATGAAAACCATCTTGAAATTTAGAAAAGATGGCTCACTGTCATCTCTGCAGGGAGACTTTTAAGGAGCTTTTTCCTTAAATAGTAGCAGCCAGTTTCCCAGAGGCCAGTGACAGGTTCGAGCAGCCCTCTCATCACAGGTGACCCAGAACCTGCCCACGGGCTCCCACCTTCGGTGTCGTTCCTCTGAGTCATTTCTATTCTGCTCAGAGGAGCCAACCCGCATGAGTGCCACCGAGACACTGGGGACCTGGCGCCCTGCTTGGGGGCTGCGTCCACCACTCCCCTCTGGGCCGCGCCGTGGGTTCCTGGCACAGAGCAGGACAGCAGACGGGCGCGGGCCACACGAGGCTTCCCCCCCCAACCCACTGAACGAGGCTGAATGTGGAGGCTGTGGGCGGTGCCAGACATGGCTCTCAGCACCTCCCTGCCCACATGCCACACTGCTTAGCAGGCACCTGTCCCCGGGGGCGGTGCAGAGGCCCACCCGGAGGCCACAGATGGCTGAGCGTGGGCGCCGGAGACAGCGGGGCCCTTGCAGAGGCTCAGGGGCCCCCCGCCAGAGACACAACCTGGGGTCCCCAGTGACAGGTGGTTCCCACGTGCCGGCGGCCAAAGGTGGAAGAGGAGCTACGGGGGAAGGTGAGGCGCTTGCTGTGGCCCGTGGGCAGTGTCATGCAGTGGGACCGGCTCACACGGCTTCCAGGCAGCCAGGGGCAGGGCCACCCGAGGACGGTCACTGGTCATCGGTGGCCTTGGGCCGTGGGGATTTGTGGGGCACAGAGACCAGAGCAGAAAGTGGAGTTGCAGGGATGTAAGCCGTGTGCTTGAGGGCACAAGCCTGAAGCAAGGCAGGGGGCAGGTGGCTTGCTTGTGGACTGGGGCCCTTGGGAGCCAGGCGGGTGTCCCAGCAGGAAGCACGGACAGGTATACAGGCTAGGCCCTGAAGGGGGCCATGAGCAGGGTGGGGCTGAGGTCAGGGAGGCCACTGCGGCCGGCTCTGGACTCTGGTTTGTTTGCGGGGTTGGGGAAGTCTCTGGAAGGTTTGCACAGGATGTGTCATGACACAGTGGACCTCATAGAAGGGTCACGGTGGCACTTCCGGGGGGAATCGGCTCAGGGCAGCAGTGGGGGGTGAGGAGTAGGGAAGCCAGCAATAGAATCTGGGGGTGTCCCGGCTGGGGCACAAAAGGAAGGGGTGGCCAGGAGAGCCCTGGGCGTGTGCCGAGCGCTGACCGGTCATGGGTACCGACAGGCACTGGCCTGGGCCGCCCAATGCCTGCGGGCCCAGACCTTGGTCCAAGCCCTTCTCTTGCTCTCACACAGAGATCAGGTCTGGCATCAGAGGCTCAGGGCTGTCAGTGCAGTTCCAGCCTCGGGGCCTTGGGGGTGAGGCCAGAGCCCCACATTCAGCTATTCACACCTGGTGGCACTGAGGCCTGTGGGTGGGGAGTAAAGCTATCCCAGGATACCCGATCCCGTTCTCCCCAGCTTCTCCGGGGATGCTCCAGGCCCTGTGAGACCCTCTGGATCAGACACTCCACAGGGCCGTGGAGTCTGAGGGCTGCATGGGGTGGGCCATCCAGGGCGGTGCATGTGAAAGGAGAGGGGCCACCCTCAGACAACCACAGCCCTGGTCCATGCGTCTTCTCAAAGCCACCGGAACCACACAAGGACTGAACGTGTTTTATGTTCCCTAGTGAGGCCCTCAGGTACCTTTTGTTCCTAGAGTTTTGTCAGACCCGGTGTTCCCAGATTCCGGGACGGGCTTGGTCAGGAGGAGGAGGCCAGACTCCCTCCCAACCGGGACAGCTACACTATGGGCTCCTCGTCTCAGGCTGGATTCCGCTGGCCAGGCTGAGAGCGGTCTGGGCCCGAGAGCGTGGCCCAGGGTATGGCCGCAGCCTGAGCATCCATCAGCAGGTGGACAGGTGAACAGGCTGAGACACACAGGAAATATAGAGAGGGGCGCATACACAGCCAGGACACCCAGGCCAGCCGTCTCTCCTGCCGCGCCCCTTCCTGCCCCTCCGATGTGGGGCCTTGGGCTGTGCTGCTCCTTACCGTACATCGTATTTTAGCTGCACTGGGCCTAGTTACCCAGAAATCAAACTCAGTTCCTTCAGAATGCCTTCTTGTAGTAATGGGGGCTCCCTGGGCATCAGCACCTGGAAGTATCGGCATGTGGAGGAGGCTTTCAGTGGTATGTGTCACACCACGTTGTTGAGGCTTTGTGCGAGCACCACATTAGGTGCAGTAGGAGTGTGCACTGGGGGAGGCACTGTTTTGTCCCTGTTTCACAGACGGGGAAACAGAGGCACAGGGAGGTGAGCAGTGTACCCGAGGTCACGCACCTTGTAGGCAGAGCTGGCAGCCAAAGAGACTCCTGTCTGCAGTGCGTGCACTAGGGCGCGAGCTCCCGTGTATGTTTTGGAACACAGCTTGTGTCTATATGGCTTTGGTTTTCTTTGACAAGCATCTTGGTTCCCTGGGGCTCTCATAACAAGTGCCACAGACTGAGGGGCTGGAAACAACAGAGAGCTACTCCCGTCCTCACAGTCTGGAGCCTGAGGTCCGAGGTGAAGGGGCCTACAGGTTGGTTCCCTGGGGCCATGCGGGAGACCCTGTCCCTGTCCCCAGCTTCTGGCAGTGTCTGGTGATCTCTGGGGCCCCTGGGCTTATGGACACATCCCCTGTCTTTGCCTCCATGTTGGCACGGCATCTCCCTGTGTGTCTGTGCCCAAGTGTCTCCTTCCGATAAGGACTAGGCATATTGGGTTGGGAGCCACACTGATGACCTCACATAAACTTGCTCACTTCTGTAAAGGCCTTTTCTCCAAATATAGTCACATCCTGAGGCACTGGGGTTTGGGCTTTAACACGTGACTTTGGCAGGACACCTTTCAGCCTGTAACTAGCATAATAAGCTTTTGACTTTATAGCTGATAACGAACGTGACGTAGCTGCAGAGGCGGTGTGACTTTCTCCTGGTAAGACGTGGGACGTGTCTAACAGCCCAGCGTCAGCAACCACGCGGCCTCAGTGAGCGCCCTTCCGCCTGGACCACACATCCACTGCAGCCATGCGAGGACCCCGCATCCAGCGGTGCGTCTGCCCACAGCCCTCTCTGTTCTCTTGCAGGCGTCCTTCCCGGCAAACCTCCAGCTCGTCCTTGTCCTGCGCCCAGCGGGGTTTTTCCAAAGGACCCTCTCTGACCTCGCTTTCAAATTCAACAGAGATGACTTTAAGATGAAGGTGCCGGTGAGTGGCCTGCCGCGGCTCTGTGGGCACAACGGAGCGTGAGCACGTTCTTGGCCCACGCAGCTGATCGAAACTCTTCAGGTGCTAAGCCCAGCGCCAGGGGCGTGCCCAAGCGCACAGCAACCCCGCTGGGCATTGCCCCTTCATTCCCTAGCGCTCCCCAGGGCTGACATCCACCCTGTGCCTCGGGTGATCCCTGTGGAAGTGCAGGTGCTTGTCAGAGCCACAAGTCTAGAACATTCTTACTGAGGGTCAGGCCGAAGAACGAGAGCCCAACAGGCTGAGAGCCGTCATCAGCCTCCTAGTGAGAAGCAGCCAGGAAGCCCAGGAAGCCTATTTCCCATGAAGCCTGCTTGCACCCCACGTCACGACAGTCACTGTGGGAGCAGCGCGGGGCAGGCTGCCAGACAACGCCCAGGAAGCCTTTGTTTTCCATGAATTAGTTTGCACACAAGCCCCCAGCTTGTGACCTCGCCTTGAGACCACCTCGACAACGCCCACCAGGTTGCCTTCAAGGACCTGAGCACCCATGACGGTGGTTGTCCGTGACACCTTTACCTGTTCCTCGGTGCACGGGGTGGGGTGCTCTGCCCGGTCAGGGGCCATGAGTGAGGCGCCCCTGGCCCTGTGGGTGAGTCGCATGCTGCAACCCTGACCCCCGGGCTTCGGGTCTTGGAGAAAACCCATGCACCTGCGGTGTTTGCAGCACCGAAACGCCTTCATTTCTGACAGCCCATTTCCTCGACGGTTAGGGACAAAACCACAGAGACACCGGCTGAAAGTTAGTGGCCTGGCACTGAAATCACCAGACGTGCTCTGTGCTCCCACCAGGACCCAGTCTCCTCTGATGGCCACCTCTCAGCCCCAGGGGAGCGTGACACCCACGTCCAGCCACTGGGCACGTGAACCTCGTTAACAACAGGTCTCTACGCAGACCTGTGGCGTTCAGTAATCAACAACACACAAGGGGGCGCTGGGCTCCATCTGGCCAAAAGCTCTCAGGACCTATTTTGTAGGACCTTAGCATCTGGCTGACAGCTTACAAAGCAAAGGCTGTATTTTTACCCAAAACTCACGGACAGAATGTCCTCAGAAAGGACAAGAGAAATAGACCAATGAAAGCAAGCCCTGTGCAAAGAGCTTCCTCGGTCCCTGAAGCCACGTGTCCCGTGGAAGGGCACGGCCCTGACTCTGGTGATGTCTGTAGTGACTTTGCTGGGCTTTGGTGGGAACAATGACAAAACCATCCTCTTTCAAGTCAGAGCACTGCTCAGTGACCACCACAAGCTCCCTGGCGGATGCCTGACGTGGGTGGTATGCCCAGCTCTGTCAGGGTTCCAACACCTTCCCTCCGTGCTAAGGCCCATCGTCACAGGCCCATTTCACAAAGGGGTAAACTGAGGCACAGAGAGAATAAGTGACTTGCCTGACGCCAACCAGCCTGGAAGTGGTAGAGCTGGGGTTTAAGCCCAGGTCCAAAGCCAGGCACCTCCTGTCCATGCTGCCACCATTAGTGACCAGCGGGAGAGCTTTTCTCCCCCGTCTGCTGGGTGGTCTCTTCACGGGGCGGCTTTCTTCCTCCTCTAGGTCATAATGCTGAGCTCAGTGCCAGAGTTACACGGTTACATCGACAAGTCCCAACTGACTGAGGACCTGGGCGGGACCCTGGACTACTGCCACACGAGGTGGCTGTGTCACCGCACGGTGAGTTGTCCCAGGCTGCCCGCACGCGGGTGCTGGCTGTGGGCGGTGGGTCTCCTTAACCCTGAGTTAATCGGCCAAATAGCTTTTGCACTATGATGCTGCCGTGTTTCCAGTAACCTCACTTCTGTTCCCCAAGAATGAGGAGATGGTCTCAGTGGACCTCAGTCATCTAAAGAAATAACATGAGTAATAAGTTCGGGAGTGGCTTTCTCTGGGCTCAGAGACCAAGAAACAACAGCCCTGCGAGGGGTGGGGGCGGATGTGGCCCTCGGGCCTCTCTTAACTGGGCAAGGGGAGACTGGGCGCAGAACGACTCTGGCTGATGAAAGTGAACGCAGAGAGTGCCCAGTACGTTTCTGAAGCCACCAGGCCCGGGGTCTGGTCTAGGTGTGACTGCGGCTTGCTGTGGTCCTGCCCTCTCTGACGATGCCCGAGCCCCTGCACCAGACACCTGCCTCCCGGTGCAGCTTGGTGATGGTGTTTTCCTTCTTCCCCAGGCGATTGAAAGCTTCGCCCTCATGGTTAAGCAGACTGCTCAGATGCTGCAGTCCTTCGGGACCGAGCTGGCCGAAACGGAGCTGCCCAATGACGTCCAGTCGACAAGCTCGGTGCTCTGTGCTCACACGGAGAAGAAGGACAAAGCGAAGGTACGTGTGGCTTCTGTGCGAGGCCGCCAAGGGGAAGCAGCCCCGTGGGCATTGGGCAAGACAGGCCGAGGCTGTTCCCAAGATGCCTGGGGCAGGGGACCTGGCGAGCGCTCCCAGGGGAACTGAACGTACTCCTTTCTAAAAGCGGCTCGTGGTCAGACTGAGGGACGTGGAGCCTGAGTGCAGCCAGGAGCCGCAGCCTCGCTCTGATTGGGCGTCCAAGGTGCCGGGGCTGCAGGGCCGCTCGCCAGGCACGTCTGCTGCTTATGAGCGTGAGCAAGGCAGGACTTCTGCCCCCAGTTCCCAGGCGGCAGGCCGGGTCATGGGCCGCCTTGGGCGACCGCAGCCCGCAAAGCAGCGTCCGTGCTCCAGTACTGACCCCGTGCCCAGGGAGCCTACGCCGGGTGGGGTGTGGCTCCGGGTCAGTGGTGGCCGTGACCCCCTCGCTGGTGGTCCTTGGGGGCGGCCCTCAGCCCGAGAAGCCTGCCCTCTCTTTCGCTCCCGGCAGTGGGGACACTGTGGGATCAGGCCCACAGAGGTCTGGTTTCCTGCTATCTCTTACCTCATCCACCGACCCCGAGCGACCTGTAGCCTTAGCTGTGCCCAAGCCACAGTTGGGGGAGTCTTCCAACACCTGCCGTCTTTCAGTGGCTCTAGGGGAACGAGGGAGTGAGCGTGGGGTGCCAGGCCCTGTGCTGTCCCCGCAGGAGGACATGAGGGCGGCCCTGGACGAGGGACAGAGCCTCCTGCAAAGCGTCAGAGAGCCCCTGGCCAAGGGCGGGGGGCGGAGCCTGAGCCAGGACCAGCTGGACAATCAGACCACCGTGCAGAGGTGAGGGCCCGAGCCGGGGGCAGGGCATGGCCACAGACTGGGGACAGAGTGACAGGCGGCAGTGACCCCCATCCCCTCGTCCTCATGGGAAGAAAGGGGGCCACAGGTCCTTACCACTGAAATGCTCTTCTTCCATATCCTGAAGAAAGTGGCTGTTCTGGGCAAGAAAATTTCTCAGAGCGAACAGCGCTTTTCTGCAGCCTGGGAGACATTCAAGGGAGTCCGTGGTGACAGGGTCTTACCAGCCTCATGGAGCCTCTCCCCTCCCCACCTGCCCAGCCCTGCCCACCCGCTGGTGTGCCCGTGAGGAAGGGACCCGCCAGCTCCCGCCCCCCACTTGAGCCTCGGGTCTTCTCGCCTTCCCTGTGAAGGGGACCGCAAGCACGTCCTCCCTGGGCCCCCGCTGTGTGGATACTTGCCGTCCCTAACACCGCATGGCGCCCTGGAACGCCCGCAGCTCCATGCATAGGCCAGGTCCTCATTTGGGGAGGAGGTGGGCACAGGAGCAGAGCCTCTGGACGGCTTGCTGGTGACACCCAGGCCACCACAGGCTGACCCAGGCCCAGGTTCACACGCCGGCCCAGTGCTCCATGCTGGGGACGTGGGAGGCCCCGGGGGACGTGGGGGAGGCTGGGGTGAACCCCAGTGCTGACAGGGTAACACGCACAGGGTGGCATGGCTCTGGCCTGGGAGCCATGACCGCAAATGGTGGCAGCTCACTGTGCCCTTCGTCCCGAACCCAAGTCAGATGTGAGAAGCGCAGAGCACTGTCACATCAACCTTGTAACACACTAGTCCCTTCCCCCGAAATGCGTCCCCTCTGGCACATTTGGCCTGCGAGTCCCATGTCCAGGGCCTGAGAGAGAAGGCGAGGGTCCGGGCAGCCCTGGAGATGGAACCCGCGCCCTGCACCTCGCACCCGTTCAGACGGAGCCTCACCCCTGCCCAGGCTCCTGGCCCAGCTGAACGAGACCGAGGCCGCCTTCGATGAGTTCTGGGCAAAGCACCAGCAAAAGCTCCAGCAGTGTCTGCAGCTCCGGCACTTTGAGCAGGACTTCCGAGAGGTGAGTGGTCGCGGTGGGGGCGCCTGGCGCTCCGGCCACAGGAAGCCGCTGCGCACTGAGCTGCCCCGGTGACGGCAGCGCCACACGGAGCCGCGAGACTGGGTGGGACGAGACCTTGGAACGCGTGGCGAGTGAGCCGTTGCGCACAACAGGTTACCAGACCCCGTCGGCATGCACTTCCTTCCGTGTTCCCCAGGGACGTGTCCAGGAGCCATGCATATGTTCCTTTACCAGCGTGCATTTGTCTGCACCTGCTGTGTGCTGGCCCGGGGCCCCATCCTGCCCATACTGGGCGGCACGAGGGTCAGGACAGGGAGGCGTGGTCCTGGCATTAATCGTCAGCGTTGGGGCTCTACAGAAGCCCGCTGCTCAGTCATTTATGCAGGGTCAGGACACGGACACATCTGCGTGCCCTCACCTCACCATGGAACGACATTTTCCCTGGCCCTTCTGGTCAGGACTGGGGGTGGGTGGGGGGTGGGATCTCGAGGGCATGAGAAACGAGTAACAACACCAAGCCCGGCACTAAGGCTGTTGTAGGGCCATGTGCAAGGGCAGGTTCCGACACCGCCCGCCCTTCCCCCCACCGACCAGTCCTGAAATGTCACGTTTCAGAAAACATGGGATTGGTTCAGTTAGCACTCACTGCCAAGCTTGGGCAGGCACAGGGAGCCAGCCTCCCTGACTTGGACCAGAGAGGTCTCCCGCCAGCCCCTGTGAGCAGCACGCCGTTGGGGGCGCATAGAGAGCATGGTCGTCCATGACATACTTCTGCAGGGGCTGAGAAAGGCTGGCCAAACAAGCTTTCTATTCGGGGATGGTTGCAGGTTTGTGTGCATTGTGAAATAATCCAGCAAGACCTCACGTGCCCTCAATCCAGCTTCCCCCAGAGGACACATCTTGCAAAATCGTGCTCAGCATCGCAGTGTGGACATTGACACTGACACACTCAGCACACAGAACATTCTGTCCCAACACAGACCCGTGTTTCCTTCTTACAGACACACTTCCCTCCCACCCCGCCC